GAGAGGTGGCATGCAGATCTTCGTGAAGACTCTGACTGGAAAGACCATCACTTTGGATGTCGAACCATCAGATACGATCGAGAATGTGAAGGCGAAGATTCAGGATAAGGAGGGTATTCCTCCTGATCAGCAGCGTCTCATTTTCGCCGGCAAGCAGCTGGAGGATGGCAGGACGCTTTCCGATTACAACATTCAGAAGGAGTCTACCCTTCATTTGGTGCTGCGTTTGAGAGGTGGCATGCAGATCTTCGTGAAGACTCTGACTGGAAAGACCATCACTTTGGATGTTGAGCCATCAGATACTATCGAGAATGTGAAGGCGAAGATTCAGGATAAGGAGGGTATTCCTCCTGATCAGCAGCGTCTCATTTTCGCCGGCAAGCAGCTGGAGGATGGCAGGACGCTTTCCGATTACAACATTCAGAAGGAGTCTACCCTTCATTTGGTGCTGCGTTTGAGAGGCGGCTGCTGAGTGGTGCTAGCTGCATCTCTTTTTAGGGAGCAAAATTGCTCGAGTTTTTGGCTTTTGGCTTTCGGGCGCGTTGAGGTTCACAGTCGGTGTGGATACATACGGACTTGGTGAATAACGCTGGGGACCACGTAGACAGGTTTTTTTTTAACTTGTCAACAGTTGCAGCATCCGTGGCTGCTGTTGACTCATAGAAGGTGCGAAATATTTTGCCAGATGACTTGATTTATAGATTTATCGTCGTTAGGTCCTTCAGTTTAGCTCGTTCTGCAACCGCGTGCGACGATTTCTGCATGTACTGTGTTCGGGCACGGTGGAGGGAGGGGTAAACTGTTGGTAGGCGCCTCATAGTAGCAGGTGTACTTGAGTCCCTTGCTTATTGATACAGGGATTAGCAGCATAGCGTTACGTCACGTAGACCACACGGCACGGGTACTGATGTTTCCATAGGGTAGAGCACTGCAATGTCCTGGCGAGCGTCTAAATTGCGTTGCACCGTCGTTACACCCATATCCAAAATTTGAACAACTAGCGTGGTAGTCAGAGTTGGTATAAATGCAACGTTACAGTGGATGGCTCGCACGGAAAGCGACACTCGGGGGGCCAACAGTATGGTCGGGATACCGAGCGTTTAGTATGGGGGCTTCCACTCCGACAGTGTGCAGCCGGACGGCAGCAGGAGGAGCTCAAATTCAAGTGCATCCTCACTCGGGCAGCCAGCGAAAGACACAACTCCACTCAACGCTCGCTGTCGTCAGATACTACGACCTAAAACGAAATCGTGTCTTGGGGAGGTAGCCCGCCCACCCACATACTCCGCAGGTGTTTGTTTTTGCGTTTGCGGCGGCTCGTTGAGGATCAGCACACATCAACGAGCTTCCGCAAACCTTTTTTGGTGTTGACTGACAGGAATAGAGGATTGGATGGTGGTGGGAGCTGTGTGCCCTGCTACCCAAACTCCCTCTTTGCAGCGGGACCATCGAGCTGATGATCACACGAAGTGCATCAAGCTGTGGCCGCAATAAGCGGCCCCTGCATGCGCGCTGCCCGCTCGTCGTTTCTGCCTATCTCGGTGGAAACCACACGTCCACCATGCTGCTGCAATACATTTCACCACTCTACCGGTTGTTTGTCATCCTGCTGTCGACGCACACGCTGTTGCTTCAACTGGTGCCTCTTTCTTGTCCTCGTATCTGCTGGCACCACTATTCCCTGTTGCATCGGGTACTTCAGGTCCAGAGGACTGCCTACTGTTGGTACTGCTATCCACCGTGCTTTCCGGCACATGAGTGGCAGCATTAGCAATTGGACTTTCTTGGCTCTGCACTTCCACATCCGTCTGCTTTAGCTCTTTTGTCCGTGACTTGTGTCCGCCAAGAGCTTCTGAGGAAGCTTCAGTCTCGATAGGTTCAGCAGCCTCAGCAGCAGCAGCAGTGTCGACATTGGCATTAGCAGTTTCACTAGCACGTTCGTTAGCGGAGGGCGTGGGAGTGTTGGCGTGATTGCTGCTGTTGTGGTGGCGTATCTTGTTGTTTTTTCGGTTTTTCTTTTTCGTCTTGGGTGTATGTTTGGCCCTCCATTCCCGTACCTTTTGTTTATATTTGTTGAAATCTGCTGCTGCTTGTTGTTCGAATTCTTGTTTCTTTTGCAAGTTAAGTTCTTTCCATTCATTAGAAATACGTTGGGCGATTTCTTTGAAGCATTTTGGATGTTTTAATTCAGGATTTTCTTCCACTAGTTCGCGTCTTCTCTCCACAGAAAATCGCATAAATGCCGATAAAGGTCTCTTCACATTTGGTTTCGGAGGTTTCTTCTTACCCGCCTTCACCTTCTCCTGCTTCTCCCGACGCTGCTGCTCCAATAGCGCCTGTACAAACAACAAACATAATATATATGTGTATGTAGCTGTATATATATATATATA